TATATAGGAAGGTTACTTGATTGGGAGATTTCAGGCTATGTCATGAATTGCATATTACATAGTGTTGACATTTTCATATTCGAAAATGAAGCTGCTGACAATGCTATCTTTGTACATATATGTTATGTACCTATATACAGGTGGGAAAGACTATTTCTAAAGTAGGTGTCCTTCTATATTTTACAGAAATATCTGACCTTTGATCTTTTTTTGTTTTTGGTACCTGGGATCGAACAAGGGACCTTGTGCTTGTGAGGCAGGCAGTGGCACTACTGAGCTGAATCCCTGGCGCCATGATCTTTTTATTACTACTATTAATGCTGCTCTTGCTACTGCTGAGTTTATTGAATACTTATGGACCCAGCATTGTTCAAGGTACTTTAGATATATTTATACATTCAATTCTCATAGCAACTTACTGAATATATACTCTAACTATCCCCATTTGACAGACAAGAAAACATGTACAGAGAGGTTAAATAATGTTCCTAGGGATAATACAGAGCTAGTAAGTGACAAAGCCAGAATCCCATTTTGTTTAGTCCAGAACTCATGCTTCTGCCATTCTACATACTGCTTCCTATTAGTAGTCCACTACATTGGCTGTGTGTAATAGTCTTCTCTGTATTGCTTATTTCCTAACTAGGAAAAGAGAGGTTTGCATAGTTGGAGACAATAAAGAATTACATAAAACCCACTAATATGATTATGATGTAGATTTCAAAGAACTTTTCTTGACTATGAAATTCAACATCAGGAGTTGATTTCATGTGAAATATCAATAGTATGAAGTATAGCCTGTTGGATAAAGTTTTATGAACATATTAGAGAAAGACAGTTACTAAACTGCCACACTCAACTCACATGCCCAGTAGGAGTGAGGAGTGTGTGTGAGCTACCATATAGCAGTAATAGAGTAATGTGATTATTCAGTTATTTAGAGAACCTGAATTAGTTCATGAATTTTCTCTTGGTAAACTTAAAATGACCATGTGTAATGTAGAGGTTAGTATTGTGTGTTTAGAAAAGTGTTTAGAGCAGAAGGCAATTAGGAAGTCAGACATATCTAAACAATAGGAATTGTTTATTTCAACAAAACAATTTTCAAGGTAACATGATTTGTCTGTGTGTCAGTGTTAGAGATCATGGAAAATATGTACTTCTGTAGTGTTTTAATAAATAAAAGCCAGAGAGTATAAGCCTTAAGTGACATTAGTATACTTTACTATGTATGCACTAATCAAGATTAATGTAGTTAAGTGGATTTATCCATTATGTTACAAATACTTGGATATAAAAACTGTGGCTATGAGAATATATTCATAACAGTAGTAATGGTAACAATCACTACAACAAATACACAACCATGCAAATTTGTTTTTCAGTATTGGGGATTTGAACCTAGGGCCTCATGCAGAGCTAAGCAAAGGTTATACCATAGCTTTTTTTTTTTTTTTTTTTCTGAGTCATGGTTTTACTAAGTTGGCCAGACTGGCCTTCAACTTATGATCCTCCTGCTTCAGCCTCCTGAGGAGCTGTGACTGCACCATCAAGCCTGGCTATATCTACTCACATTATTGTGAATCAGGAAAGTGCTTTATGTACATTATTTCATTTAATCCTTACAACAGTCCTGTGAAATCATTTTTATTACTCTCACCTCAATAGATGAGAAAGCTTATAAAAGGAGAGAAATAAATATGTGCACAAAGTTACGTAAGCAGCAAGTATTATGTATTCAGTAGTTATTGAGTATACCTACCATAGCCTTGACATCATTCTAGATAGTATGGAATTAGCAATGAGTGAAACAAACTCCATGCATTCATTGAAGGACCTCACCTTCATGAGGGAAATATGCAGTAAGCAAACAGGGAAACATTAAGTCCAATGGTCATAAGCATTATGTTGAACAAAGCCAAGTAAGCAAGTAAGAGACTGCTACAGTAAGGTCCTGGGATGGGCTTCACCACTCCTATCTACAGGGTAATGGGGACCTCTTTGATAAGGGGGGATATTTCTGCAGATACCTCAGGGTAGGGGATTGTTTGTAAGAAGAATGTTCCTGGCAAAGGGGAGAAAGTGGTCCTTGTGCTACTGAGGATGATTTGGAGGTCATATATTTGAAGTGGGTGAAGGGGAGAGAGGTATCAGTTTGAACCCAGATTTCTCTGACTCTGGACTTCATATTTTGGTTACTGTACTAATATAATGGGGCAAATGCTGTATGGCATTGTCCAACCCCCACTCTCATCTTGGAGACATACTGTATTAGTGAGACACATATTCTCATGGAAAGGAAGAGATTAGTGATGTTCTACTCTGGGAAGTTCAGTGTTGAAACTATCTGAGAAATCCCTGTGGTCTGAGAAGAAATTAAAAGTAGCATAGGATTATGGACCATAAGTTTGATAAACTGAAAGTGTAACTTCCTGCTCAGAATTCTTCACTGGTTCTCTATGCCTGCTGAGCTTTAGAGAAATTGTTTCTCTGAAAACTCTGTAGCAAATAGACCTACGTTTGATGAAGACAATGTTCATAAACTCTGAGTTATGCTGCTCTTCTCAGGCTGTGAAATCAATTACAAACTCTTTGGCATCCTGACACTTTCAGAGTAAAGCCCACAAGACTTGATAAAGAATGCAGGACCTTCACAGTGTGGTTCTCATCTTCTCTTTATCCTTCTACTACCCCTCCCCTCCTCTTCACCTTACCAGGGAACAGAACAGTCCTAGGTGTCATATATCAAGGACTTTGCACATTCTGAAACATCCTTTTATTCCTCTTGTTTTGTGACTGAGATTTTCTGTTTTTCTTGAAGCCTTTCTTTACCATTTTCCTTCCTAGATTGACTTATAACTCCTTCCCTTGGCTGCTCTTGGAGCTCATGATTCTTTGGAATTGTAATTCCCAGTAGAAATCTTCCTCAGTCCCATCCAACTAGACAGCAGTGTTGAAGTTATATAGAAATCTATGCAATCATTGATCGTAGCTTTTATCACACTTTATTTTGTAATTTCTTTGCTTTCATGACTGCCTCTTTTTCCAGAGCATAAGTCATTGAGAGCTTATTTTTATCTATATTCCAACCAGCCATGGAGCTTGCCATGTATCAGTGATGACAAACCAAACTACAACCCAAAACCCACTTATTTATCACAAAATGCCAATACTGCAATTAAACCTGAATTCTGAGGTTTTAGTAGAGGAAAAAATAACTCATACATCAACATCTTTTGTCTTAAAAGAAGAACAAATAACATGTGCCATACATTTGCCACCATTGGCTTATATGGTAGTTTACCTGCTTACCTAAACTTAAAAATAATAGATGCATAATTGTGCAAGCCAGGGTTTTCTAGACCAACATGACCAATAAATATGTATATAACATAAAAGAGGATTGATTTACATGATCAGGGGCTGGAGAGTACCACAGTGTCCATCTGCAAGTTGGTAGGGCAGGAAAACCAGTAGCTGCTCAATTCAAGAAGCTGGAAGTCTCAGAACAAGAAGGACCAATATGCAGCTCCAGTCCAAGGCTGAAGGCCTGGAAGCTCCCTGGAGAGTTACTGGTGTGAATTTGTATTCAAGGACAGAAGAAGCTAGGGTGTGACATCTGTGGATGATGACAGCAGCATAAAAATGTGCTCACTGAAGAAGAATCTAGCATGCACATGACTCCTTCTTCCACATTTTGTTCCATCAGAGCCATGCACATTCAGGTTGGATCTGCCTATCAGCTGGCTGACCCACATGCCAGTTGGCTCTGGGAATATCCTCACAGACAAACCCAGAAGGGTGTTTTACCAATTTTCCAATCATCTCTCACTGCAGTTGAGTTGACAACCGAAATTAACTGTTGCAAGAGGTACAGTGATGACTGTTTTGATCAGATGTTTCAACGGTGATAGTTTACTATGGAAAAATAGATGATAATAAAAACAACTACTATTTAATGAAAGATTATCATGTGCCAGACGTTAAACTCAGTGCTAAAATACAAAATTTCCTTATTCCAGCTTAAATTCAACCTTGAAAGATGCATCTTACTAGGTATAATTTTAAAGCTAAATTAATATCTTAATAGATGTAAGTTTCAAACTAAATTTTAAATATGCATTCATTTTCAAACTATTGTTTACTGAGTATTAGGAGAGTTAGAAGGGTTTTAAGAAGAGGAAGAAGTCCTTAGAAAGAGACAGAAGTCATCCTTGTTTCTTTATATTCAGTTTTGAAAATGTTATTACAAATGTGTATACTTGACTAACATGGCAGAGATCTTCCGGAAAGAACACTGTACTCATTTATAATTTGGACAAGTCATTTAGGGTGAGACAAGAGAGCTATTGGAAAGTGAGCCCAGATGAGACCCTGCATAATGCAGTGCTTTGGGCTGTTATCAATGATTAATTGTAAAGGCTTCTGTAAGTTCTATCCTTCCAGTCTAAGGCCCAAAGTGGAATACTTCAGGCCATGGTTACTTAGTGCAAGCCCTGGCTTTCATTCAGTAGGAAAGCCTACAGTTAGGAAGTCTATTGAGTAATTTTTCAACACGAATTCTCGTTACTGATTGTTTTGTGTTTCTCAGATAAAAATATCTCAAATTGATATGTTGCTTATATGCACTGGTAAAGTAATTTTAGACATACATTTAATTTTGCCTTCATAGCATTTGTTACCCTAGCAATGTTAAATTGTACTTTAAATACTTTTAAGTGCAAACTCTTAAAAAAATTAATCAAATAGTTTTTCCCACATAAAATAGCACAATATAGCCATTTTTCCCTTTTTTGTCTTGATTTTATTATTCCCTTAAGTTTTCAATATTGTGCCAATTAAATGAATTAGATATTCTTTATATGAATCCTTGTACTTCAGGTCTATCAGAAGGAAAGACTATATTAATGCTCAAAAAGGATATTTAAATTTTTTTCTTTCAACTCTTTTGCTTTCCAGTAAAAAATTATTCTAAAGCTCTTTTTGTGGTTCTACTGCAGTGACTTGGCAGCCAAAGCCCTGTGGGAAGCCTTACTGAATACCAAGCACAAAGAGGCAGTCATGGAGGTTCGGAGACATCTAGTGGAAGCAGCAAGCAGAGAAAATCTGCCAATCAAGATGAGCATGGGTGAGCTCAGTCACTTCAGCCTGGAGGGTCCCGGTGGGTTCTGAGGAAGCTTATTTAAGCCTGCTCTGAGCTGTGGGCAAGCCACGGCAACATGATACGTAGGTAAATTTATAAAAAAAACATTTGTGCACTATTGAGAAAATAGGAAAGTAATATGCACACATTTCCACTTTTATGACCAAAATGACCACATTTCTTGGATTCAATTTGGGAACTCTAGGAGAGTTCTTGCTAACAAATAATGGGTTTTGTTTGTGTGTGTGTGTGGATTTTTTTGGTTGTTGTTGTTCCTTTGTAAATTTAGAGCTATTGAAAATCAATCTGGACCCCTTTCTTCCTTCCTCCCTTCTCTCTCTCTCTCTCTCTCTCTCTCTCTCTCTTCAGATCGAACTCGGGACCTTGCACTTGTGAGGCAGGCAGTGGAACCACTGAGCTAAATCCCGGCCCTGGACCACCTCCTTTAATTCCAGTCTAATTCTATTCCCTTTCCCATCTTTCCTCTATGAGATAAAAGTGCTTCTATTAGTTTTGAATTATGAATGAACTATGGTACTGGAAAGACAGATTTGCTCTGGCCTGGCCCCATGCCTTTAAGAGTAGTCTACAAATTCTCTAGTCATACGAGTATTATTGTTTCTTCTCCAGAGGATCACATAACTCATTTTTCTCATTTTCACTGTTTTTTGCATTCAGCTTTGTCTTTGGTATTAGAAGCATATATCTGCAATGCAATTTGTTTTACATGGGTTTTCTTTTTGCTTTTGATTAAAAAGTAAGAACCACAGAACTATTCAGATTTTAGAAAAGAAATATTTTTTTTTTGGTTCTAAATACATTAAATAAATTAAAGATGAAAATATTTAAATGTGGATATTGAATCTGGCTAATAGGTAGAATTTATTTCTGGAAACTTGCAAAAATTTATTTCTCTATTTTAATAAGATTTTTCTCTTAGCTACCACTAAATACTATTACATTTTAGTAAATGGAAATTTTTTTCTCAGTGAGATTCATATAGCCTAAGTTCCTAATCACTTATGAATACCAAAATAAAACTGTCAAGTTGAAATACAACAGAATATTTAAAGTAAAAGAATGTGGATGAACCTAGTAGGAAAAATGTCACAAGAGTCATAACATGAAAAAACAATCATGAGATTTAGTGTGTTAGGTGATTATAGATGTGAGTGTGAAGGAACATAATGATGATAAGAAGAGTGAAAATAACTTTTTTGTTGAGTACTTACAAGGTGCCAAGTCTTATCTCTTTACATACATTATTTTATTTAATCATTGTAGTAATTCTATGAGATAGGAGGGATTAAATCATTCCATTATTCAGATAAGAAATTGAACCAGAGAAAAATTAAATACCTTTCCCAAGGCCATATACTTGATAACAGTAGAACTGGATTTCAAATGCAAACATTCTGATGGCAGAGAATATACTTTATATAAGAAATCATGCTGATTCCATATAATCAATGCAGAAGTTCTCATGTTACTTTAGAGTAGAAAAAAGTTGCTGCTTTAAGACTTTGTGAGCTTTCTGTCACTGTGACAAAATTCCAGAGAAAATCAACTTAAAGGAGGAAAGATTTATTTTGGCTCCTGGTTTCAGAGGTTTCTGTTCATTGTCACTGGGTTAAATTGTTTCTGGGCCTGTTGTGAAGCAGAGCATGATGTTCGAGAGCGTGGAGTGGAGCAAAATGGTTCACCTCATAGTGGACAGGAGGCAGAATGAAAGAGTGAGAAAGAGGAAAATGGAGAAGGGGAAGGGCCTAGGGAAGCTAAACCCATTAAGGGCACACCGACAATAGCCTACATCCTCTAACTAGGTCTCACCTCCTAAAGTTTCCACTACCTACCTCCTGCTGATGTCATCAGCTGCTGCCAACCAAGCCTTTAGCACCTGTCCTTTGGGAAACATTTCATAGCCACACTATAACAGAAGCCATTCTGGCATTTGACTATTAATTCTTGAAGTTCTCTCCTCCCTCCCTCTCTCCCTTCCTTCCTTCCTTCCTTCCTTCCTTCCTTCCTTCCTTCCTTCCTTCCTTCTCTTTTCTCTTTTTTACCATCTCCTTTCTCCTCCCTCCCTTTTCTTTCTACAGTTCTAGGTCTACGTTACTCACAAGTATGTTTACTTTACACAGTTCTTCATTCCTAAGTATGCTGAGAAGAACCAGTTCATATCACGAATGAAGAAAAGTAGGAATGCACCAAGAGTCTTGATGATAAGGTTAATTTATATTGTATTTTGATAATATAACCTTATGATACTGCCACAGAACATTAATTTTTATTGCTCAATATAGGACTTCTGAAAGATTAACAAACTTTACATTTCTAAACTGCTGTATCTTTTAAAAATAATCAGGGCCAAAAAAATTTGGAAAAGACAACTGTATGAGGAATTCAAATTTAAATGTTTGCGTTTTCTTTCAACCAAAAGAAAAAAAATTACATAAAGTGGTTTTCTTTATCTTAGAACTCCAGACATAGTGTGTGGGGGGGTAGCCAATGACTGTTAGTAAGATTAACTCCCACTCTATCCTTATGTCAACTACAGTTTAGTAAAAAACAAAACTGTGTGACTACCCATTTATCCTTCAAATCATTATCAAGAATTTCTTGTGTGTCTCATTTCTATATACAGATACATAACCATGAATAATAAGAAAGGGAGCTGTAAGTTTTAAACATAATTTAATACATTGATGCCTATTACATAGCTTATCATTTAAAAATCATTCTCTGGTCTCCTAAGTGGCTGGAATGCCTTTTCTAGTAGTGTTTAAAAATATGAAATGTACTTTAAACTATGTACTGTTTCCCTAACTCCTGCTGTTAGTTTTACAAAAGTATACATTTTCTGACTGTGATAGAGGCTTCTGGTATTTTTGAGACATTAAACAGATTTTAATTCTAGACTGAGGATCTTCGTGTTTAAATTCAGTGAGTGGGATCTTATGTTTGAAACCTCAGATTTTATATATAAAACTTTTCAGCACAAGCTAAATTAATATTAAAACATTATGAGTACCAAGAGAAGCAAACACTATTCTCTTAAATAATAAAAGTTTAATGGCTAAAATGCAGAAAAAACTCATTTTATCATTGAATATATAAACATATGCAGTCTTTCTGAGAGCTTGTTATTAAATTGTCAGTTAAGTAGATATGTTCCAGAAAAGTGATTTTAAAACACTGAAAGTGAATTGTATTTTTCCCATTGGCATTCCTAATGAAAAATGTATTCTGAAAGTAAAAAATAAATAGTCCCCAGGAATTCCATTTGTTTGAATCCAAAGTGGACGCTCCGAGAATAAATGAATAGAAGATGCCATCTCAGAGTCTGGTACATTTTATGGAGACTCTTTCTCTGGAGTACCATTGTGGTTGAGGGATCTTTATTGGTTTGAACTATAGCTTTTTGCAGAAGGGACAGTATTTAATTTGTTGCAAAAAGTCCTATTAGGGTTGAAATGAAGCAGATCTCTTTATAATACTGTCTTTTCTTTTACAGGCATATTTCTTCAAAGTTTTTTGTGCTTGATGGCCCTAGTTCTTTATTATTTTATTGGTTGTTAATCTGTTGCAATCTGGCTACTAACCTGTTTTTACTGAAAAGTCTCCCAAAGCACTAAATATAAGGACATTTTTCTTTGTTCTTATCCTTCTTGAATTCTTTGTCCTTGTCCTTCTTGACTTCTTTGTCCTTATCCTTCTTGCCACTTCTAGACTATTACTCTTTTCCTGTATATCTTTGTTTCTGTTATTTTAGGGCTTCCTGATTTAGATAGAGTACAGTGTCATCAATATCTAGTGTTCAGTCATACTTTGCTATTTATCAGCCAAACTTCAAATTATTTATCCATAAAAATAGGGAAAATATCTATTTTCTGGAATTTGCAAGAGGATGAAAGCTTCAAGCAGTGTGAAGTTTGTGACTTTGAAGCAGATAGGAATTGATGTGTTGTGGTTATATTCTCTAAGAGAAAATCTTCAGACGAAACCAAATTATAATAAGATTCCTTGATCAGAGTGAAATCAACACAAACAACAAATTCGATGGTTTTCCTTCTCTTTTCATTTCTGGAAAAAGAACTAGTTCATTCTTTCCTCTTCACTTTTATTTTTGTAGGATTTCTGCTGAATCTCTACCTTTTTTGTTTTAGTACCAGGGATTGAACTTAGGACCTTGTGCTTGCAAGGCAGGTGGAAGAACCACTCCGCTAAATCCCCAGACCATCTACCTTCTAATAATACAGTCTTTCTTTCGTTTTCTTTTCTTTCTTTAACTTTATTGGTACATTTTAGGTATAAAATACAGTTACATTCATTTTTGGGATCTTGTACCCTTATATGATGTATCTTAGTTCTTATTTTTTCCCCATTTCCCTGTTCTCCCTTCACCCCCTCCACCCTTTCCTATTTACAGAGACTTTGTTTTCATTTTTTCCTCTTTTCATATTTATTCTTTTCCCATCTTTCCTTTCCCCTACCCTTCCCACTTCCCCAACTCCGTTAGACCTTTTCTTCCTATTTCACATTATCAATTATATCATTTGAACTTTATTTACACTATCAGTTTCTCACACTAGAGAAACTATTCAGTATTTACACACATGTGTCATATTTATTTCACTTAAGAATATAGCCTCGATATGCATCCATTTAGCAATAATGTCTCTAGTTTCTCATTCTTTATGGCTGAATAGTACTCCATTTTATATAAAAAAAACCCCACCTCTTCTTTATCCAGTTTCCAGTTGATGGGGACTTGGGCTGTTTCCAAGCTTTAGCTATTACAAACTGTGCTGCTATAAACATGGGTGCACATATATTGCTGTGGTATGATTCTTTTAATTTTGGGGGGAAGATACTCAGCAGGGGAATAGCTGGGTCAAATGGGACCTCTGGCACTAGTTGTTTGAGGTATCTCCACACTGATTTCCACAGTGGTTGCACGAGTCTCCACTCCCACCAACAATGGA